TGTGTGCTGGCGCGGTCACGTGTGCCGCGCCCAATGTTGCGTTTTGGCCATGGCGGCACTCGCTTCGCTTCAACTTCAGTCCGAGAAGGCCGCGGGTGACCGCGAGCCTGTGCAGGCGGCGGAGCGCTCGTTCATCGAGCGCACCGCGTCGCGGAAGGAGAAGCCGACGGAGGAGCAGAAGCAAGCTCGGGCCGCGGCTCGCAGGGCCAAAAAGGCCCGGCAGAAGGCGAACAGGGCGGAGAAGGCTGCGGCGGCGGCTGCGAGCGAGGCCGAGCGTGCGGACTACCCGCACGCGCAGCTACGCGAGAACGTCGAGTTCGTGATGGACGGCCTAGACCCCCATGGAGGACCTTTGAGGCCCTCCCCAGTCTCACCCCACCTTACCTCTGCCCCCCCCTCCCCCCATCCCTCTGCCTCCCATAGGGCAGGATAGCACTAGCATATGCGCCTAGTGCGCACACTGGGCCCACATAGATGTGACCCGCCCACTCGAGTGCGGCGCCCAGATGCTAGTGCTTGAGAGGACACCACAAACGCGGCACGGCCCGTTTTGGATGTCTGCGGAGATTCTGTCTTAGCACACACAGTGAGTCATTCGGAGTCATTCGATGGCCAGAGTGCGATTGTGTGTGTGCGGGAGTTGGTTTGTCGGGAGGGAGGGGCAGGCTGCTCACCCACGTGCACCGGGCCAGTGCTTGCACTTTGAATGCCGTGGGGCTCCTGCCCGTGTCCGGGTGTGGAGATGCGAGGGTCGCCCCCCCTTGCCCCACCACTTTGTGTGTGTGGAGAAATTTACCTTACCTTACCTTACCTTAGCCCCATTGCCGATCATGGCGGTTTCTCAAGCAAGTTCTGCTCCGTTTTCGGCAAGTTCTGCTCCGCCAGCAGCGACATCGCGAGATGTCGGCGTCGCTGCTCCCTCTCCTGTCACACGCCGTCATCTACAGGAACGGCCGCCCTAAGGGCACGCCCCTTCCAGCCCCAGCAACGCCCACGCCCGATCGAGCCGCGCACGATGCGAACGACATGGCGATGGAAGCCGGCATGCTGCACCCCAAAGGTCCCAACCTGGTGCCCACGGCGAACGCCGTTGTCGGCGCGTGCTGGGAGGGCACCAAATGGACTTGTGCGAGGTCATCACTGATGGCGAACCCTATCGACAATATCCATGTCGACTGGCCGTACCGTCTTGTGGGGGCTCCTGTCGACGTATGGCTGTGGTGGGCGCCGCACCACAGAAATTGGGAGGAGTGGCGCTACCTCCCAGTGCTGATGACCATCGCCTCGGCGTTGTCACGACGGAACTACTCCGTCGCGTACACGGACGCATCGCGAACACGGGACGACATCGTCGCCGAGGTCGTTAGGCACGGCAGCCCGGTTGTCGTGCTCTTCGGCTATTGGAACGCAGTGCCGGGGACGCGCGAGATTGTCTCGCGTGTCGTCGCCAAGGGCGCCCACCTCGTGCTCTACAATAGTGAGCCACTGGGAGTGCTCTACAACAGGCAACCACTCGCTCACAACAAACACATTCTCGCAACAAAAGAGCTGTACAACGCCTCGGAGCTCTGGGATTACTCGCTGGCGAACCTGGAGTGGCTCCGGCCGCACGTTCAGCTGACGCTGCGACACGTCCCTCCCAGCTACGTCCCCGATTTTGACCTCGGCGTGCAGGCGACCAGGCGAGGCGTGGGGGTCGTGGGCACCCGGCCGCCACCTAAAACGTACGCCCAAAACACCGCGCTGCTCTGGCACAACGTGACACAGGCGGAGCTGCAGACGTGGGCCGACATGCGACAATTTCTCACGACGCACCCGCTCCAGCTCGTCTTTCATCGCGTGCCACAAGGCAACCTATGCCCCTTCGAAGCGTTTCGCGGCGCTGTGCTCGCCTCAAACCGCGCTTGTATCGTCGCCCAGGACTCGCACCCACTCGACCAGCATTACTGGGCCGGCATCGTCCACTTTGCGCCCACGCCTGCTGACCTCCCGCGTATTGTCAACCGCTTCATGAGCGACCCGGCGCTCCTCGCCGACTGCCAGGCGCTGACCTACAACGCCTTCGTCACGAACCACACGGCTACGGCCGCCCTGGAACAGGCCGGCGTCTTGAACCTCCTTACGCGACGAATCCAGAAATACCGCCCGCCGAAGTAAGGCCGAGACTCATGTACGGAGCATACGGGCTTTGGAGACTACGGGGCATACCGGCTTTAGAGAGTCGAGAGCATATGAGAGCGGTGCGGTGCGGTGGGGCGAGCGCACCAGACAGAGGGACGTCCAGAGCCTTTTTGGGCAAGTTAATTGATTCCATGCCTCATGCGCAGCCACGCCTCCGGCGCAAATAAAAAAGCGTTCCGTTTGCTTCCTCGTTCCTCCTGCCGAGGCCCACCCACCCTTTCCGTGAACTAGCCGGGACAGTCGGAGAAGGGGCAAGAGCCCCCCATCCCACTAGCTGGCATTCCCCCGCGGTCCCTCGCGGCTGCGTGACGCCGCACCAATGGCGCGCTGACCTGTGCCTCGTCCGCGAGCGCCATCCAGAGCTGCACCGACAGTCGCTGCAGCGCAAACAAACGGCATGCATTCGCGCGCCGACCACGACGTCTGGTCGTACTGCCACCATGTGAGCTTCCGGCCCGCCACCTCAGCCACCCGCATCAGCAGCTCCTCCACCCCCGCGCTCATTGCGCCGAACTCCTCGAAGAGCAGCGCCTCCACACGGCACTTCCCCTCTCTGCGTCCGTGTACTGGCCCTTGACAGCCTCGACCGTCCCGGTCCCCGTCCGCGGGTCCCACCTCCCCACCCTCCCGACCATGTCCCCGCCCTCCACGCTCTCAAAACCGTCCGTCGCGGGCGCGTGGCAGCGTGTTGCCGCAAGCGACAAACTCCCCTATGCGCCCCACCCCCCGAG